ATCTCTAACACTTTCGTGGATGCGGAACTATCACGTAGAAACGGGGTCGCTTCTGCGACCTTCCTTCTGCAGATGCGATCACTGGAGAGTTTTTTTGCATGTATTCACCCTTTTTTGCTCAAGTCCACTCCAATTGAATTCAAATCACTTTAGCGCATCATTTACCTGAAAATCTAACAATACACACAATAAACGACCTCATATGATAGTTAAAGGACATAAAAGCTAAGGAAAAGAGACTAGATTGAGTGGTAAAATCACCACTCATCAACACCCCCGACTTAAAGCTTTTGCTTGTCCTCAAGCAAATCAAAACCAACACTTCAATGAGGATTTACCATTTAAAACACAAGTGGTATTGCTATTATTTACAAATCACATTCTCCAATTAAGCACCATACGTATGGATTTGGTTGGTACTAATAATTAGGCTCAAGTATGTGTATCTTTCCCTAATGACTCCCTCATTTAAAAACAACTTCAAGAATGTGCAAGGGAGTTTCAAAAACGGAAAAGGGCCAAAACTATCCCTATCGTTTGGTAAATGGTTTATAAATACCCTCCGTCCATCTATCCGTTCAAAAAAACACACGAAGTTAATTCTATTAACAAAAATACCCCCGCGACTAACGGCAGAACTGATGGAGTGTGTTTTTTTGAACGGATAGATGGACGGAGTGTATTTTTTTGAACGGATAGATGGATGGAGGGTATTTATAAACCATTTATCAAACGATAGGGATAGTTTTGGCCCTTTTCCATTTTTTTAAATATCAGACTCAGAAACATTAAACGACAGAAAGAGCTTCAGGGGAGTGCAGTTTTGAAAATGCCCTAAGGATTGCCTATATGTAGCATACTGTGTCTATATTAATGCAGAGACAAACATGTTTTCGAAATAGTATATTTTAATACCTATAAGCATGGTATCTAATGAGATTAATGATATTTTGAAAGAACTTGTTTTAGAAAATGCTTGACACTTAATAAGACCAGTTTTAGAACGTGATAAAGTTGATTTATTAGGCCAAAGCAAATCACAAGATAGAATTGCGAGTGTAGATCCCTATAAACATGATATCTAGGCATATTACTGAATTTAGCAACATACAGAAAGACTTATTAGAACTGAATCGGAGTTGAGTCCTATAGGCATGGTATCTACATCTGAATTGATTTAAGGAATGATTGTTTGGGACCTATAAACATGGTCTCTAACATGACAGAATGCAAAACCTTATGAACATGATTTCTATCTGATGCAAACGAAATTAGAAGTGAGATCCTATAGGCATGATTTCTATTAGGCAAGGCAATCAGATTTAAAAGAGTAAATCCCTATGAGCATGTTTTCTATTGCGCAAAGCAGGCAAATTTAAAAAGTAAGATCCTAAGATCACGATTTCTACCCATATTACCCCATAAAGTATACATCTACCCACCCTTTTTACCAAATACCCCAAATATCTGTTTACAAATTATTACATGCCAATGAATGAATTACATAAGTAAAATAGAAAATCAAGAAGCTATTCTATAGGGGGCCTATAATTAGGCCCATGTTTCCCGAAGCCTCCAATGGTCTCGTAAGCCTCAATTCCATAGACAAATCAGAGTCTAGGTGCATCAAAGTTCCCTAAGGGCCTCAAGGACCCCGGGCAATGCGTACACCTAGACTTAGCAACCAAGAATTAAACAAGTGCAGTGTGGAAAGGCCAGCCTCAGTATGCCAGAGTTCAGAGGGCTCTCAAGATGATCCCAAGGCAGTACACATACTAGAGGGGGCAGAACTTATTGAGTAAGAGTAAAGTGGAAGTGCAGGACACAAGTTGAAAAAGGTTATTAAAGACTGTACTGGATCTGTTTTGAGAGCAGTTAGTAAAGCAACAAAGATTGTTTGAAAAGAGGTTGGAGTAGTAAACAAGCTTAAACACCTAAAGAAAAGATCACACACAGCTAGTTTACAGAATTCAGTAGTCATACATGGATCAAGGGATTAGGGATACATAGACATTTTGGTTGCACAACCCAGCAAGGATCTTAAGACTGGTTTGGACATGCTCAGAGATAGTTAACTCTGGCATAATCACACACCAGTCAGGAGAAATACAAACACATAGAAGGAGTGATAAGGATTCGGAGATTCATAGGATGGTAAGCATACAAGAAATAAAAGACAATTGACAAGCATGCTTTGAAACACACATAAGGGGATACATTAATCCAGAGGGAAGGGGAGACATAACAACATGCTGATAAGGCAACTTAACTACAAGTTCCACAACAGAACCACAAGTAGAAGCAAACTAGAAATAAAAGAAATTGAAACAATAAGAGAAGCATATTGTTGTTGGAGCTTTAAATCATAACTGAGACATACCAGTGAAGGTAGAAGTAAGCAGAATGAAAGAACCAAAGTGCACAGATGATTAGCCTTGGCTTTCAGCCGGCTAATAGTAGCAAATAGCACAAGAGATAGAGGGAGAGCAGAGATTTTAGTAAGAGAGGTAGTTTTTGAAAACCAGTGTCCGTCTGTGTTAATGAAAGACTTAGACTATTTATAGTTGAAAAATAGGTAGTAAAACAAGGTAAGAATCATAGTAGTATAATAATTGAAGAACTCAAAATCAATCAATTATAGAATCAAGGAAGTACTCTCTTAAGTTAAGGGAATCAAATCAAACGGGAAGATTCAGTATCATATAATGCAAGAAGAAAAATCAGTGCATGGCTAAATAAGGAAGGGGTCAAGGTTCAGTAAGCATAGAGTAGTCGATTAGGACTAAATTTATGAAACCTCAATTAAGGAAATGACTCAGTAAAAATAAATTACCATAGCAAATAAGGTAATGAAATCAATTTAAACAGCCGAAGTTTCAAAAGAAAATCTTTCAATCAAATCATCAATTAAGGAAATCAGAATCAATCAAGAGGGAGTCATGATTCTGTATTTTCAACATATAAATAGAGAAGATCAAACAGACGTAGCAAACGGCAAGGTTAGTCATATTGACAGAGAGAAGCAAGAGATGAACAAGCAAAATGAGCACAGTCATACAGAAGTGACATAAGTAGCTAAGTATTCAGTAAAACACATTCGAAGCATGGTAACCACGAAAGATTAACAAGAGTCAAGTAAACAGGCTAACACACAGAACCAAAGCAAAGGAAATCTTAGAAATTAGGGCTCATAGTCGAGTTAAAAAGGCAGTAGGAACATAGGATCAGTCAAAACAAGCAAGGAACGAGGTTTAATCATAAAGATAATCGATTAAAACAAGTATGGAAGAAATTCCGAGAAACCCTAATTTTTAAAGGAAGTAAAACGGTTTAAAGTTGAGGATTTTTCAGAAGAAGCTTGAGAATAATGAAAATCATAGGAAGAAACAGACTTAAATCGTTAAAAAAGAGCACAGATCTAAGAGATTCAAACAGGAGTTAGGGTTTCAAAGGAAACCCAAATAGAAACGAGAGAACCTGTTGCAAACTTCACAAATCGTAACACATGTGGTGTGATTTAACCCAAAGTCACACCAGAGAAGCCTCGAACAACATAAATAGAAACCCTAGGTCCAAATCGACATGGCCAAGGACCCTTGAGGGCCTTAGAGATGATGAGCAAGGTGATGAGAGACCCATTGGAGGCTTGGGGTTGAAAGGAGGTCGCCGGAGATGACCGGAGAAGGAGGCGTTTGACAGAGTCTAGGGTTAGGTTGAGACAGAAGACTGGAGATGAGAGAGTTTGAGGGCGGCGGAATTAGAAGAGTGATTACGGTTAGGGGGTCTTTAGGATTAAAAAAGGAAGGGGTTTGTCCGGGTTTGGGTTAGGGTTAATAGGATCTTGGGTCGGGTTATTTAATTAGAAGGTTGGGCCGGGAATTGGTCTGATTTTGGCTACAATTGAAAGCCAAATTTGGCTATAATTTAAATAGCTAGTTTTCCCTATTTTTAATTTTATTAAGTAATAAGTAATTTCTGGAAAATAATTTAAAATACATAATTAATATTTTAAAAATATAGGGACCAATTTTGTGCATATAAAATATAATTATATATTAAAAGGGCTAACATTGCAATTATATGCAATTTAGCTTAAAAATACTAAATATAATTATAAAAATGCATGAAAACTATATTAGCCATATTTTGACATAAGTATAGAAATTAAATGAGTAAATCATCATAACAATAATTTGGAAAATATTTATTGGGGTTTTATGGATAAAAAAGGGGAAAAATAAATCAATTTAAACCCTTAAAATTATGGAAAAAATAATAAAAATCTTGTGCATGCTTATATATGCATATATATGCTATTTTGAAGGTATTTACATATATTGAAAATATATAGAAAAAATTGAGTATCAACAATGAGTTGAGCGAGGTCGAATGTTACTCTTAGTTAATTCTAACGAGGTTGAATGTGAGTTGACTCTTAGTTAATTCGAACGAGGTTGAATGTGAGTTGATTCGAGCGAGGTCGAATGTTACTCTTAGTTAATTCAAGCGAGGTCGAATGTGAGTATCTTGATTGGTGGGGTGTTAAAACTTGGTGGAGATAGGCGAACATCATGTGCTTGTATGCTTTGCTTACATATATACATTGGAGAAGTTTACACGTTTTTTGGGCTGGTATTCCAGTCCCAGTCTACCTAGTCCTTTTATTGTTCGACCCGGAGAAGTATTCGAGGGGTCGAGCAATGAACTTTCTAACTTGTATTCTCACCTACTCATGCTTAACTTCGAAATGTCCTCCTCGTCGCCTCGTTAAGAACCTCCCCGTGAAAACCCAATTGGGACAAAACTCAGGTGAGGGAAAAAGAGTACGGTTCGGAGAACATCTTTCCTTAGAAGTTGAAGTACTTGAGGTGGGCGACGTTCCTGTTATTTGGTAGTAATTTTCCTTCCATCGTTTCTAGTTGGAATGACCCTTTGCTTGCTGCCACCGTAATTTTGTATGGGCCATCCAAGTTAGTCCGTAGCTTTCCTTCTCGTGGATATTAGCTTGCCTGTGTTTTGGTTTTTAGTACATAGTCTCCGACTTTGAGCGGTCTGATCTTGGCTTTTTTGATGTAGTATCGCTCTGCTTGTTGTTTCTGGGCGTTTATCCTTATGTATGCCATGTCTCTTCGTTCTTCAGCCTCGTCGAGGTCTTGCCTCCTGCTTTCGTCGTTTCTCGGCCCGCTTTCGTGTGAGTACCTTAGACTTGATTCTCCGACCTCGATCAGTATTACTGCATCGGTCCCATAAACCAGTGAGTACGTTGTTTCACCTATGCTTGTTTTTGGCGTTGTGCGGTATGCCCATAGCACTTTCGGCAGCAAGTCCGGCCACAGTCCCTTGGCGTTCTCGAGCTTCTTCTTCATGATATTCAATATTGACTTGTTAGAGGACTCCGCTTGCCCATTCCCCACGGGATGATATGGCGTAGAGAGTATTCTTTTGATATGCCATTTCTCGAAGAACTCGGCGATCTTTTTTCCAATGAATTGAGGCCCATTGTCATAACTAATTTCTTTGGGGAGGCCAAAGCGGCACACGATATTCCTCCATATGAAGGTGATCACTTCTTACTCGCGTATTTGGGCGAATGCACCTGCTTCCACCCACTTGGAAAAATAGTCAGTTAAAACTAAAAGAAATCGTACATTACCTCGTCTCACTGGGAGGGGTCTGACAATGTCCATTCCTCATTTAATGAAAGGCCAAGGCGAGGTGACTGAGTGGAGGTGCTCGCCCGCTTGGTGGCTCATGGGGGCGTATTTTTGGCATTGTTCGCATTTTTTTACGAAGCCAGCAGCCTCTTTTTTCATTGTGGGCCAGTAGTAGCCTGCTCCTATGAGGCATCTGACTAGGGCTCGATTGCCGGTATGAGCTCCGCACTGACCTTCGTGGACTTCCTCCAGAATGCGCCGCGTCTTGTTTGGGCCTAAGCATTTTTCTAGGGGCCGCCGTACGTTCTTTTGTACAAGTCATTGTTGATGATGTTGTACCTGGCCGCCTGCATTCGAAGCTTCTTGGCTTCTTTTTTATCGTCTAGAAGCACTCCGTCTTTCAAATATGTGACAATATGATTGCGCCAGTCCCAAGTTAGGTTTATAGTTCGTACCTCGATTTGATCAATCGACGAGTGGAGGAGAGTGACCACATTCCCTTCCTGGGTATGCTATTAGTGGCCGCTGCCAGTTTGGCAAGGCCGTCTGCTTCGATATTCTGTGCTCAAGAGCTTTGGTCGAGCTGGTATTCGTCGAACTCAAGTAACAGCTTGCAGATCTCGGCCTGGTATTTTTGCAGTCTTTGTTCCTTGATTTGGAAAGTCCCTATAGCTTGATTGACGACGAGCTGAGAGTCACACTGTAGGACGACTCGCTTCGCTCCGTACTTGAGTGCTAACTTTAGCCCTGTAATCACGGCCTCGTACTCGGCTTCGTTGTTAGTCATATCTGGGCATCTTATGGACTGGCGAATTACTTCGCTTGTTGGGACCTCGAGCACGAGTCCTAGTCTGGATCCCGATGCGTTAAAGGCACCATCGGTATACAAAACCCATAGGCCGTGTATTTTGGGGGAAGTACGGGCGGCTTCCTTTTCGACTTCAGGCATTATTTTTGTGCTGAAGTCGGCGAGTACTTGCGACTTTATCGCCGTTCACGACTGATAGGTTATATCGTGCTCGCTCAATTCAATGGCCCTTTAGGCCAATCTGCCCGACAGCTCGGGTTTATGCAGAATACTCCTCAAGGTAAAGGTCGTGACTACCGAAATGGGGTGGCTCTAGAAATAGGGTCTAAGCTTTCGTAAAGCTACGACCAAAGCCAGGGCCGGCTTCTCGAGGTATGGATTCCTCGTCTCGGTGTTAACTAGAGTTTTACTAATATAGTAAATTGGAGATTGCGTACCTTTGTTTTCTTGGACCAGGACCGCACTCACGGCCACATCGAACATGGCCAGGTATATGAGAAGACGTTCCCCAGGTTCCTCCTTAGCGAGCAGTGGGGGTGAAGATACGTACACCTTTAACTCTTTCAAGGCTTCGACGTACCCGGAGTTCCATTTGAGTCCATTGTCTTTCTTGAGTACGCCAAAAAATTTATGGCATCGATCGGACGACCGTGAGATGAATCTCGACAGGGCGGCTATGCGGCCTGTCAGCTTCTGTACTTGTTTCTTACTGGTTAGGTTCTCCAGTATTCTTTCTATAGCTTTGATTTGGTCAGGGTTGACCTTGATACCTCATTGTGATTACCAAAAAACCGAAGAACTTTCCCGAGGTTACGCCGAAGGTGCAGTTTTCAGGGTAATTTCATACTGTATCGTCTTAATATGTCGAAGGCCTCTTTCAAGTGGTCGATGTGATCCTCTTTCCTTTTTCACTTGACTAACATGTCGTCGATGTAGACTTCCCTGGTTTTGCCGAGCTGGTCTTTGTACATTTTTACCAACCTCTGATATGTCGCCCCCGCATTTTTCAGTCCGAAAGGCATCACTCTATAGCAGTATGTCCCCTGGTGAGTGATGAAAGTGGTCTTTTCTTGCTCTTCCTCCTCCATGAGGATCTGGTTGTAGCCTGAGTAGGCGTCCAAAAAGCTTAATAGCTCGTGCCCGGCTGTTGCATCAATGAGCTAGTCAATATGGGGTAGTGGGAATGGGTCTTTCGAGCAGGCTTTGTTGAGATCTGTGTAGTCTACGCACATCCGCCACTTCCCATTCTTCTTTTTCACCATGACCACGCTGGCGACCCATTGAGGGTACTTCGATTCTCTGATAGAGCCGTCTTCCAGTAGTTTTTCAACCTCCTCGCAGACCGCATTATTTATTGCGGAGTTGAATTTCCGCCTAACTTGCCGCACTAGGGTAAAATGGGTCGACGTTCAACTTGTGTGTTGCTATCTCTTTCGGGATGCCCGGCATATCTGCATGGGAAAAGGAAAACACGTCTGATTAGCTAAAAATTGATGGAATTTACCTGGTTCCTCAAGTTTTTGGCCAATGTAGGCTTTTTTGCTGTGGTCATCTTCGTCGAGTTGTGCGGGGTCGAGATCCTCCACGGTCGATCTTGTGGCCTCAATGATTTCGGGGTCCCTAATGACATATTTCCCTTCGTCATCTCCTGACCCCGACCATGTTAATTGCTATGCGGCCTCTACTTTGCCTTTTAATTGTTGGGTGTATGTGAAGTCTTGGGCGATGCGGTAGCATTCTTGGGCAGTATGTTGCTCTCATCGGATGCTGAATACCCCCCAAGGGGTGGGAAATTTGATGACTTGATATAAGCTGGAGGGGACGACTTTCCTGGCGCGTATCTAGGGGCGACCTATGATGGCGTTGTACGCCGTATCCTGGTCCATGATGTGGAACGTGGTCTCCAAGGTGACGCTGCCGACCAGGACGAGTAGCGTGCTTTCTCTAGACGTCCGCTCAACTACATGACTAAAACCTGTTAGTGTGATGCAGCGTGGCACTATCCTATCTTCGAACTTCATTTGTGCGAGAACTCGATGGTGGACAATGCACGCACCGTTCCCATCATCGACCATAATACGTTTTACATCAGTATCTAAGATGCGTAAATTAATAACAAGGGCGTCATAATGAGGAAAGACCAAACCGTGGGTATCCGGCTTATCGAAGATGATACTCTCTTCGAGTTCGTCATACCGTTCATGAGTAATTGACCGTTTTAGCTTGTGGGTGGTCGTGAATTTTACGCTGTTGATTGACGCATCGTCGCCTCCTCCTATGATCATTTGGATGGTTCGAGTTGGGGAGGGTGGTTTTGGTGGACCCTGATGCTGTTCGTGTCTTCGAGCGAAGTTTGTCCTTCCTCAATCGCTCAAAAGTTCCTTCAGGTGTCCTTGGTGAAGCATGTTCATGACCTCTTGCCTTAGAGCGATGCAATCCTCGGTTTTGTGGCCCTGTTCCTGATGGAACTCACAGAGGGCGTTTGACTTCCTGGTGTTTGGGTCGGATTTCATCTTCTGCGGCCATTTCACTTTTGGGCCGAGTTTCTCCAGGGCGTAGACTATATTTGAGGGAGAAACACAAAAATTCTGAGCAGATAGAAGTGGGGGCGTACCTCTTTCGCTTTGGAGAGTCCCTGTTGGCGGCCTAGATGGGCCGTCGCCATGACGGGGAGGTGGTATGATGGCGGCTCTGACATATGGTTGATGTCTTTCACGGTTGAGTCGGGGGCTTGCATGGTCCTTTCTGTTGTCATTTCTTCAGTTTTTCCTGGATTCCATTTGGGCTGAGGTTAGCCGTTGAGTTGGCCCGTTGAGGTCGTCCTCTTCAGCTCGCACTTCGGCGCAGTAAGCGTTGTGTATCCCGTACCAAAGTGGTTGGGGGATATTTCATGAGTTGGCTTAACAATTTTCTGGTCGCCCTCAAACCGTTCCTGTTTAACCCATTCTGGAAAGCTGCTACTGGCATTCCCTCTGATACATTTGGTAAGTTCATCCTCACACAGTTGAATCGGGAGAGGAAATATCGTAGTCCTTCACCGGGTGATTGTTTGATGGCAAATATGTCATTCGCCCTCGCCTCTACTTTCTTAACCCCGGCATGGGAAGTCACAAACTTGTCGGCCATTTTCTCAAACGTTTCGATTGAGCGTGCAGGCAGCTGCGAAAACCAAGTTAGTGCTCCCCCGGTGAGGGTTTCGCCAAACTTCTTCAGTAATATGGAAGACACTTGTTCTTTTGCGAGGTCGTTGCCTTTTACTGCAGTGATATAGTGGGTCACATGATCCTCAGGGTTCGTCGTGCCATCGTATATTTTCAAGTACGGCGGCATTTTGAAGATTTTAGGTATGGCGTGCGGTGCAGATTTTTTACTGTACGGTTGCTTAACGAACCGGCCGGCGTCCCTTTTTGGTAAGAGTTTTGGGGCGCTTGGTATCTTGTCTACCCTTTCTTGATGCTCTTTCATTTGGTCACAGAGCCTTTTGTTCTCGTTCTCCATCTCCTCCATCTTTCTCAAAATGGCTGTGAGGGTGTCGTTACCTGCATCACTAACGTTGTGAGTAATACCTGTCACAAGAGGAGGGTCGTGCTGCTCGTCTGTCACTGGCGCGACGCAAACTCTCGCAGTTTCTCTATTCGTCCTTTGGGCGGGCTTGTCAAGAATGCTGGTCAGCGTGTTTGTCAACCATGCCTCGAGCAGCTTTTTAACTACTGGTGGTGCCTCTTCCGTTGTAGATGTAGAGGCCCCTTTACCGTGTGAGGTTGTGATGCTTCCATGAGGAGGGGGCGAGCTGTTTTGCCGGGGAGATGTATTTGGTGTTACGTCCTCACCTTCCGTTTCATCGACTTCGTTGATGGTGTTGAGGAGATTAGCGGTGAGGTTGGCTATTGCTTTTCCTCTTTTCCTCTCCATTACCTGCCATGTTAGATTTGTGTGCACAGGGAAGTGTTGTGTTTTTTGCATTTTTTTGTTATATATCTAGAGGAAACTAAAATTTTAACTAGAACATCCCCACAGACGGCGCCAAATTGTTTGACCAAAAAGTATGAAACCTCTTGTTAAACTAATTAAGTAAAAAGATAAGGGGCTAATCCTAGTTAAAGATAATAACCTTGATTCTGAAACAGGTTTATTCGAATAACGTGAGGACCGTGTGAAAACGGATTTAATGCAACACACATTAAATGTTATAGTTACTAGTAGAAAGAGGATAATGATAAGCAATAAATACAATGAATGACACTAAATGAAAATAAGGAGGAAGATTCACCCAATATTGAATGGGGTGAATGATTCCTTCCTCTGAAAATGATGAATGACAAGAATATAAGGGAATATTGGGCACTTTCTCGGATCTGGTGGAAATGACAATGGATGAGCGAAAAAGATCGAATCTCTTCAGAAAGCTGTTCTTTGTATTTATTTCAAATGTATTCTTATCATATGGAATCTTACATGCCTTTTGTCTTATCTCTCATACTAATTATATGAGATATTCCCAAAGAAACCTAAAA